GGGATTGTCCCTCTGTCCCTCGGGATTGTCCCTCTGTCCTTTGGGATTGTCCCTCGGGATTGTCCCTCTGTCCCTCGGGAGTGTCCCTCTGTCCCTCGGGATTGTCCCTCGGGATTGTCCCTCGGGATTGTTCCTCTGTCCTTTGGGATTGTCCTTCTGTCCCCCGGGATTGTCCCTCTGTCCCCCGGGATTGTCCCTCTGTCCCTCGGGATTGTTCCTCTGTCCTTTGGGATTGTCCCTCCAACCCCTCGGGATCCCCCCACACCCCGGGATCCCCCCATATCCCCCGGTTTCACTTGGTACCCCGGTTTCCCCCGGATCCTGGGATCCCCCCGTATCCCCCGGTTTCCCCCTGTTTCCCCCGGTTTCCCGGTTTCCCCCCGCGGCCCGGGATCCCCCCGTATCCCCCCGTATCCCCCGGTTTCCCCCGTACCCTGGTTTCCCCCGTACCCTGGTTTCCCCCGGTACCCCGGTTTCCCCCGGTTTCCCCCGTATCCCCCCGTATCCCCCGGTTTCCCCCGGTACCCCGGTTTCCCCCGTACCCCGGTTTCCCCCTGTATCCCCCGGTTTCCCCCGGTACCCGGTTTCCCCCCGCGGGCCGGGCTGGCCCCGGGCCCGCTCCGGACTCGCCGCTCCGCAGGCGCGGACGCCGCCCGGCTGCTGCCGAAGCTGTCGGTGAAGCTGCGGCCGCAGCGGCAGCACAGCTCGGACGCGGCCCCCGCGGCCCCGGCAGCGCCCCGGGAGCTGGACGAGAGCCCGGAGGAGTCCCTGGAAGCGGCGGCCGAGAGCAGCACCAAGTCGGAGCCCACCACCCCCAAAGCCCCCCGGGCGGGGCCGGGGGTCTGCGGCCGCTCCCGCGCCGAGAAGTGCGCGGGGCTCCACATCTCGGGCCCCTTCTCGGTCACCGTCCCGTTCCACATCACCTCCAACCTGTCCCGCCTCACCCGCGGGCTCCCGTGCCCCGCGCTGCAACGGGAACGCGGCCCCGGCAGCCCCCCCGAGCCCGCCCCGGACCCCCGGCCCCGCTCCGGTGAGAGCCGCCGGTGGGACCCCCGGGGGGACACCGGGATCGGGGGACAGCGGGATTAGGGGGGACAGCGGGATTAGGGGGGCAGCGGGATTAGGGGGGCAGCGGGATTAGGGGGGACACCGGAATCGGGGGACACCGGGATTAGGGGGGACAG